TGATGAGTCTTCCCGAGGCCTCCGATTTATGCAGGTTCTGTCTCATTGGCTAGTCCATCGGGACCTCGATAGTGTGTGTCTGGAAGTATGGTCTTAATCTTCGAGTCGCCATCAAGAGAGCCAGCATGAGCTTTTCTATTTTTGGGTATCTCTCTTCGGCTCTTCGGAGGGCCTTGCTGCAGAAATAGATTGACTGTTGGACTCTTTCTTTATCTTTTACCAAGGCAGCACTGACCGAGAATTTTGATACGGCCAAATAGAGGGTTAGGACATCTCCTTTTTTGGGACTTACAAGCACGGGTGGGGAGGCCAGGTAAGCCTTTAGAGCTTGAAAGGCCTCGTCGCATTTCTCGTCCCACTAGAAAGCTGCCTTCAGGACCTCAAAGAAAGGTTGGCATTTATCACTTAAACAGGAGACGAAACGGTTGAGCGCCACTATTCTTCCAGTTAGGCGCTGCGTTTCTCTGGTGTTGGTAGGGGGTTTCATTTCGAGGACGGCCTTAACCTTTTCCGGGTTGGCTTCGATACCTCTATTGTTGACTATAAAACCAAGGAACTTTTCTGTTGATACCCCAAAGGCGCATTTTGCCGGGTTCAACTTCATTCTGTATCGGCGCATAATCTCAAAAAATTCCCCGAGGTGGTGGCTATGGGATTCGGCCTTAAGTGATTTTACTAGCACGTCGTCTATGTAAACTTCTATGATTAGGCCGAGCTTTTCTTGGAACATTCTGTTGACTAATCTCTGATAGGTAGCTCCAGCGTTTTTTAAGCCGAAGGACATCACTTGGTAGCAATATACCCCGTGTTCTGTGATAAACGATGTCTTCTCCTGGTCGTTAGGGTCCATTCTGATTTGATTATAACCTAAAAAAACATCCATGAAGCTGAGGAGCTCGTGGCCAGCAGTTGCGTCAACGACCAAATCTATTTGAGGTAAGGGGAAACTATCCTTGGGGCAAGCCCTGTTTAGGTCGGTAAAGTCTATACAGAGTCGCCATTTGACGTTCACCTTTCTTACGAGCACGACATTGGCCAACCAAGTCGGGTAATCAACCTCCCTGATGGCCCTGGCCCGCAGCAGTTTGGCCACCTCCTCATTAATGGCTTTTTGCCTTTCTGACGCCAAGCTTCTTCTCTTTTGTCTGATGGATTTGCAACTCGGATCAACACTTAACCGGTGCACAATCATTGTGGGGTCTATCCCCTCCATATCGTCTTGTTTCCAAGCGAAAGCATCAGCATTTGCCTTTAGGAACTAGATAAGCTTCTCCTTGATGGATGGGAGCAACATTGAACCTATGAAGACCACGTGTCCCGGATCTTCATCCAACTAAACGGGCTCCAACTGCTTCTTAGGGGTAGGCCTAGTGTCTAATTCGTCCCTCATGTCCAGGTCCTCTAGTTGGACCAATTCCACCTTCCTTTGTTTCATTGACGCAATATAACATTCTTTGGCCAGGCGTTGGTTTCCCCTGACCATGCCGACCCCATTCTCTGTGGGGAACTTCATCACCAAATGATACGCCGAAGGTATCACTTTGATGGAGTTAAGAGATGGCATTCCCAATAGAATGTTGTAGACGGATAGAGCGTCCACTATCAGGAATCGAGCAGTGGTTGTAGCCTGGCAAGGCTGTTCCCCGATGATGAGGATGAGTTGGATGGATCCAACTGGCAGGACCTTTTTTCCCGAGAAACCTAGTAGGTGGGATTTCACGGGTTCGAGCTTCGACCTTTTAATGCCCAATTGGTCGAAAGTCGATAAGAAAATGATATTCACAGAGCTTCCGTTATCGACGAGCACCCGGTGTACGATTTTGTTGGAGACGATCGCCTTTATGACCAAGGGGTCGTCATGTGGCTGCTGGCATTCTCCGAGGTCCGCATCTGAGAAGGTGATCTCCATTTCTCGACGAGGCATCTTTCGTACGGTGTGGACTTCAAGGTGATCTTCTGAACGTGCCTTCCGAGCATGTGCTCTTCGTGCTAAGCTGGATTCACCTCCTCCGGCAAACCCACCAGAGATTACGCAAATTTCACCGAGCGCCTGTTGGTGTTGTTGGGGGGGCTCGACAGCTGCTCTAGCCCCCCGTCTCTGGTCGTTTTGTGCTCTTCCTTTATCGGCCACGTATTGGTGTAGGTGTCCCCTCTGGATTAGAAACTCGATCTCCTTCTTAAGTTGGATACAATCATTTGTTTCATGCCCTATGTCCTTGTGGTATTCACAGTATTTGGAGGCGTCTCTCCTTCTCGGGTCCGATTTCATTCTAGGCAGCCACCGTATGAACTTTTTGTTCTGAACCTCGTGGAGGACCTGTGCAATGGTCATGACCAATGGAGGTAGCTGCGCTGGGGCAAATCGGGGCTGCAACTCTGGCAGAGGGGGTCCCAGGCGATCTCAGACATTGCCTCTCCTCTTTGGGGGTGATTCTCTTCCCTTCCTTGGGGACCGATCCCTTCTTGGGGACCGATCCCTTCTTGGGGATCACTCATACTTCCTTTCTTTTCTGGGACTACGGTCCCTCCTTTTTTTGTCACCTTCTACCGGTGTCGAGCCCCCTTTTAAGTGAAGGGCTTCTTCGCCATTGATATATTTCTTGGCTTTCGCCAATACTTCAGTCATGGTTGCCTGGGGGTTCTTTGTTATCGAAAAGAGAAGATCCTTGGATTGAATTCCGAGCCCGAACATGAAGGTGGTCAACGCAAACTTGTCGTCCACGCTTTCCACTTTCAGACACTCCTGGTTGAAGCGTTAAACGTAGCTCTAGAGGGACTCAATAGGTCCCTGTTTGACACTTAATAAATGGTAGGATGGCTTTCTGTATGGTCTTGCCCCTATAAAGTGGGATACGAACTATATGGATAATTCCCTGAAGGAGAAAATTAATACGGGTTGTAGCCTATTGAACCAGGCTATCGCCGATCCCTTGAGGGTGATGGCGAAAACCCGACAGCGGATAGGATCTGGATAACCTTGAAGCTCTTTCTGGTTTTTGTAGGAGTTCAGGTGATCAACTGGGTCCTTGGTTTCGTCGAACGCTTCTATCAACGGCATTCAAAACTTTGGAGAAGGGGAAAATGGAGCATCTCGGGGGCAAATGACGATTCGATTTGCTGGACCAGGACGTCTATTGTGTCAGGGGCCCTTCCGTTGACTGCCTCTTTCATGTGGCCCATTTCTTGTTGGAACTCGTGGAGTTTTTGCTCCAGCAAAGGATCCAAGGAGTCCTGAAAGAGATGGGCTCTATCTTTCCGACGAACAGCCCTTGCCTTGCTGTGGGCCTCGTCTTCGCTGCCCTCATTCGGGTGACCTCTCCGGTGGTTGTCCCCATAATGGCTGTGTTCATGGAGTTCTGTTATTCCATTCGGCGGAGCGTGACGCTCATAAAGAGGGGCGTCGTGTTCGGCTTGGGGTGGAGGAGGTTCTTGTCGAGCTGGTGGAAATTGAGGGAGCTGATGTGTCTGTATCCATTCCATCAGCTCCTTGTTCTGCTTCATCAATTGTATCATAGTTTGATGGTAGGTTTCTAGTTCATTGAGCGGTGGGCGATTTGCTGTTGGAGGATGGTCTTCGGCGTCCCCTTCTGGGACAGGGAAGTTTTTTGGCTGATTTTGCTGGACTTGGGGATTGGATGGAGCTTTACTCATGTTCCTAATTGAAACCATTAAATAGAAGAATCAGGTAATGAAACGATGAAAACCGTTCCCACAGACGGCGCCAACTGATGGTGCTCGGAATTTATAACCCAAGCCCAACTATGATGGGATGATGTTCTGAGTTGATTTCACGGATTATGGATTAATCTTTTATGATTAGTTAGACGGGGAATTTAAGTGGTTCACCTTACCTGAAGGACTAAGGCTACATCCACTATTAACGGAGTCTCTTGCTCGTTGGATTTGTGCATTCATTGATTTGAGGTGTGCTTCCTGAAAACTAGGGACTCTAAGCCCATTTACAAAAGATGATTATCTAGGTATTCTCTCTTGGCTTTCTATGCTTTTGGGCTCTTAAATGTTCTCAAATCTTTTGGGGGGGGAAGGAGATGATCCTCCATGGGTTATCGTTTTCTATTTATATTAGTTTTTCCTAGGGCCTTCAGCTGTCTTTCCCTTCGTATTGATCTTTCTTGTCCTTTCCTCTGCCCCTTCCTGCTTCTTCTGCCACGATCATTGTTCATCCAGCACTGCTGTCGCCATGATCTCTGGTGGTCTGGTGCTCCACTTTCTCTGAGATTGTCATAGGTGTCAGAAGTGGTTCCCTGGATCCCTAGGGTGTGTGGTCCCTTCTGGCGATCCAGAAATAGCTTGGACCGGGCTTTTAATCTCCAAACCATTTTATGGTTTGGACTGGGCCTGAATTGTTGGGTTATAAGCCTTTTGTTGATGCTGAGTTCTTCTTCTCTACTCGGGGCTCTGAGACTGGTCAGGCTTCTAGGCCACCAAAGTCCTGGCCTTGAATTTCATCCGCATCAATATCATTTGTGTCAATCAAGTCTTTGAACTATACTTTGTTTCAATTGAATCCCTGAATTATAATATTTGTGTTAATGTGACTTTTCCATCAAAATTTTAAGCTTGACGCAATTCTTTACATGTACAACACTTAACCCATAAATTATATCCTAATTTTAGACTCATGTGAGATGCGCGTGAGAAATTGTGTTAAACTTAACCACGAATTTGGACGAAAGGGTCACATTGACACAAATGTAATTTATGAACTTGACATAAGTTATATACTTAAAAGAGCCAAATATATTCTTTAACTTTTTAATCAAATGTCTCGGGTGCGGGTGAAATATACGAAGAAAAAAAAAAAGAGTTGCCCTAACTTAGGTGTCACGTATTGACCACAGTTGAACGATGGCTGCGTGAGACCCCAAAACACAAAACACTCTACTAGAACACAGGAGAATCTCAGAGCTCCACGGTGCACCCCAATAACATACAATACCCCAAGCGGCCCACCCCCATAGCCTTAACTCCTAGCAGAAATGGCCTCAATCCCTCTCCTCCGTCTCTCTCTCCGTCCACAACCCCTACCCTCAAAACCCTCCACTAATGTCACAGCTTCGTTACCTCATCCCCTTAGATCAACGGTTAAGATCCCATCTCTACCTAAACCAGTTCACCGCTTCAGGGCTACACAACCCATATCAGCCTCCAGCACCACAGTCCCAGCCACCGACCGTTTAATCTCAGCCGTTGCTTACTTTCTTCCTTTTTTCAACGGTCTCCAATACGGCCGCTTCCTCTTCGCCCAATACCCATCTCTCGCCGTCCCTTTACAGCCTATTATGCCTATTTTCTCTCTCTACCGCTCCATCCCGTACGCCAGCTTCGTCTCCTTCTTCGCTCTCTACCTCGGCGTCGTCCGTAACCCTATTTTCAGCCGCTACGTCCGTTTCAACGCCCTCCAGGCATGTAATTTAATGTTTTTCATGAAATTGTTGTCAAGATATTCATTTGCTAATCTAGATCTGTTTTTCTCTAGTTTTGCCTAGAATTACACGCAGACCCCTATGGGTTCTCCTTAATATTTAAAATATTATACAGAGTTTCTGAAGTTTCTCCGCATAACACTTAGACAAGTAGGCGTATAATATTTAGATCTTTTAAATTTAAAATATTATATTTAAATAAAAATATTTTAATCAAAGATAAAATATCAAATATTTCATACTTTACTATCAAAATTAATGTTCTATTATGGCATTTATTAAAATTAAAAATGAAAATTTAAATTTAAATTATTTTAAAAAAATTATAATTAGTATACAATTATACTATTTATTAAAATTTAATTTTATCGTTTAAACAATCAAATTAAACTATCAAATTACCTCAATTAAAGTTAGAATATATTGTGTTCATTATAGTTTGATCCCTTGTTTATTTTTTAGTTTTATTCCAATAGATATTATAATTGTATACTAATTATGATTTTTTTTTTAAATTAGATTTTTATTTCTTATTTTATTTCAATAAATGATACAATAGAACATAAATTTTAGTTATAAATTTTAAAATATTTGATATTCTATCTTTGATTTGAATATTTTTTGTCTGAATATAATATTTTGAATTTGAGGTATGTAAGTATTTTATACTTACAAACTTTAAGGGTTTTGGATATAATTTATTTGACGGTAGGGGATCTTGGTGTAATTCTCCCTCATTGGAATTAAGTCGTATGCTGCTCTATCTAAAAATGTGCTATAAAAGAAGAAAAAAGGAATGCACACTATTCTGCATTAAATACACACTTCCCAATAAAATGCCATTTTCCTAATTTTGTTTCTTCTATGTTTTCTATATTAATACATTTATTAAAGTTCGATCATAGTGGTAATCAAATTTCGTTTTAGACAGATAAATATAACACAAAAAATTCTCAAATACATATAATGAAAATCAAAGTTTTGTATTCATGTTATATATAATAGAAATCAAAGCTTTATTAATACAGATAAATTGACTTAAAATAGTTTTGAGAATAAGACTTATTAAAATAGATAAATTTAAAATAAAAAATTATGAAAATTGTAGTTTATAATAAAGACAAATTTACGTTACGTATAATGAAAATTAAAGTTTTATTAAAACAGATAAATTTACCTAAAATATCATTGAAAATAAGTTTATAATACGTATAAATTCATTACACATATAATATAAATCAAAGGTTTATTTATAGAAATAAATTGACCTAAAATAGTTTTAGAAATCTAACATTTATTAAAATAGATAAATTCAAAACAAAATAATCAAATTTTGTTTCATGTTACATATAAGGAAAATCAAAAGTTTATTAATACCGATAAATTGACCTGAAATAGTTTTGAAAATCCAAGACTTATTTAAATAGATAAATTTTAAAAAAAATCATCGACATCAAAGTTTTATTTAAACATAAAAATTCACCTAAAATATTATCTACAACTAAGTTTATAATACTAATAAATTCATGTTATATGTAATGGGAATCAATGTTTTATTCAAACTGATAAATTCAAAACAAAAGAATAATGAAAAACAAAGTTTATAATATAGAAAAATTCATCGCTTCAGAAGTTTTTTTGTTGTAGATATTGAATCGATAATGATCATAATATTTGATAACTTTCATAAATAAAAAAACGTTTTGAATTGATTTAGAATTATAATCTTTCAAGAAAAAAGATTCAAGTAGTAACGATCAAATATATGTAATTAATGAGGTGACCAAAATTGATCGAAAACATAGTCCTAAAAAATATCCAGAAGAAGGACATACGAACCAACTTATTTGGGAAAGAGAACTTGACTAACTTCGTTTTTCCTAAACCACTTCTTAAGAATGCATTTGGTTCCATCTACAATCTAATACGAACTATTTTGCCAACTCTCGAAAGGAAAAAGGCATTTCCAAGATAAGATTTTTCATTTTATGAGACTATATGAGTGCTAAAGCCGAAAGACGAAGGTTGAAGCAACTAAAGAAAGAGAAACTAGAGACATAGATTGATTCCCCTAGCCAGGAAGACAATCCCTCCTTGTGGTGGACCAAAGCAGAGTCTAGCCCTCAAGGTTAGAAATCTGAGCTTCAGATCGTGTTTATATATATATATATATATATATATATAAGGGGAATCCTTTTGAGATATGAGACCAAATTTTTTAAAGATGAAGAAGATTGATTTAAAATTCAAAATCTTCACATGATAGAACACATGGATAGAATAACTAATATCACGTTGATTATGCGCATGAAACACGGAAGGACAATTAAGCAATTAAAATATTGTTAGGTTTAGTTTGGACTGTGTCATACAAAGATATACCATATGTGTCCTTCAAGACACGTATGGTATCATACAAATAATGCATGGTTGGTTTTATTGACAAAACCAATTTTCACTGTAATCTAGTACGGTATTGTAGGAATTGTGAAATGACAGTATGGTCATCATGTGATATAGTCTTAATATAAAACTAGGATAAAAATCATAATTGGTTCTGAAGTTTTCCTTTGATTTCAATTTGGTCTCAGAATTTTCATTTGACTCAATTTAGTCCTTCAACTATCAATTTTATCTCAATCCAGTCTTTTCTATTTTTATTGTTAAATCAACACTGAAATAGATCAAATCAGACTAGTATCCAATTGATCAAACTATGGAAATTGATTGGGGGACTTAATTAAGACGAAATTGATAATTGAGGGACTAAATTGAGACAATTGAAGTTCAAAGACTAAATTGAAATCGAAGGCAAAGTTCAGAGACCAACTATGATTTTTATGCTATAAAAAAATAAGATTATGCTAAATGTATCTATGTTTAATTTTTAGTTTTTTTTTGTTTTGTATTGTAAGAAAAAAAAAAAAAAAGAGGGAGAGAATACGATAGCTGGGAAACACACAACCAATTTGTGTGAATTTGCTTCCCTACAGGCATATGATTAGATGGTACGTGTGTGGGCTTGAATATAGGGCTGCCCTATTTGGAAATTTGAAGCTTCTCTTACTCCTGCTGGTCATGTTTTGTACTGGATAGTTGATTGAGTGGTGGTGCTTTCTGTTCTTAAACAAGTGTTTTGTGTTCTGTAGTTATTCTTCGTGTGCACTTAGGTTGATTGAGTTGTGAGCTTTGTTTTGCTCTATGAGCTTTTTGTAAAGGGATTTTCTTCATTGAAATCCTTTTGTTTGTAGAATCTTATCTTTGTATTTGATAAAATTCAGATTTACTTACCAAAATAAAATAAATTTCGCATATCAACACAGGGGCATTCCAAACTGTTTGAATTTCTCATTTTCATATTTTTTTGGGCTTGAACACTGATACATGTACAGAGATATATGGGCAGAGATTTCCACGCACAATGTGCGCAATGTGATTTTCTAATTTTGGTAATCTATCTGTCTGTAATTTTTTGAAAAATGGTATGTAAATATTCTGTTGATTTTGAGTTTTATTCTCTGCATTATGTAGGCTGTGGTGCTGGATGTGCTCCTTGTGGTGCCATTACTTATACAGAGGATCTTCAATCCGGGTCGTGGTGGGCTTGGGTTCAAGCTAATGGTGATGGGTCACAATGCATTGTTTGTGTTTGTTGTGTTGTGTTTTGTCTACAGTTTGGTGTGCACCATTCTGGGGAAGACTCCCTACTTGCCCTTTGTGGCTGAGGCAGCTGGTAGGCAATTGTAAAAGGAAAGCCCTGACCTTGAGGCTGCATTTGTTTGTAGCTCTTTTCTTATGTTTTTTGTTTTTTTACTCCTCTTTCTGTATGTTTTTTCTCCCTTTTTCTGATGCAACTCCTCTGTGTATCTTGTCTAACTGATTTAGGTTGCAGAGCCAGAAAGCGTCGGAAAGTGTTTGCATATTATAAAGAAAATTATAATTTTGCACCAGTTTGCAGAGTTGAAAAATTATGTTATGGCTTGTTTTCCTATTTTAATTTGTATATATATTTTTTGGGTTATAGTAATGGATGGAATTTTACTTGGGGAGAGCAATGTGGTACTTATTTTTAATGTACTACTGTAAAAATCTACCCTATTCCGGAGCGGAAGGAGACGGAAGTTGCTAATGCCCTGTTTAGATCATAGTAATCTTTTTTGGTATTGATTTTCTCATTCCTAATAAAGGGATACTCAGAATTTAATTATTAATCTTATTTTTTGTGTTTATTCATTGTCAACCAGAATATTATTTGTTTCATGTTTGTTTTCAACAATGACTTTAATGTTAGAACATGGAGGCTTGGTTTTAGTAATGAACTAGGGGTAACCATGCCTGAAGTTACGGGTAATGTGAATATTTTTAAAATGGATGTTGTTGATTGTTTGTTTTCAACAATGACTTTAATGTTAGAACATGGAGGCTTGGTTTTAGTAATGAAATAGGGGTAACCATGCCTGAAGTTACGGGTAATGTGAATATTTTTAAAATGGATGTTGTTGATCGTTGAATGAGTCTATTTGAGATCATCAAATGAATTTATTGAAATTTGTCGTGTTTTATATTATAGATTTTATTTTGAAAAGAGCATGATTTATTAAAGTTTTAATATGAGAATTTTGCCCTTCTGGAATTTGTAATCCTCTCATCGAAACATTTGCAGTTTTCATGGTTCTAGCCCATTCGAACATCGATCTACCCAGGATTTAGATTCTCTTTAATATATTTTTTTTTAATTGTCTTTTTTGGTACATCATTTATCATTCATGAATGAAAGGTCTATTTATATATAATAATTTTCACTTGAATGAATAGTGAATTAAATATTAAGAATAAAATTTTAAAAAAAAAAGTGTAGCGGATATGATCTCACTTCCTCTCTGATCCCGCAAATTTTGGATTTCGCATGAAATTTGAAAAACCCTAACACACCAGTCTTTCTATTTTTCTGGTAATAGACTTGACTCATCCGGCTCTTGAGGCGGACTACGTTGGTCCACCGTTACATTACAATTAGCCCATTAACTGTCCCTTCCCTCTCATCGAGTGAATATTCCATGCAACAGCTATAACATGTTAGTAAATGACACTTGACACTCTAAAATATTCTCAAAGTTTTAATTTATACTCTAAAACATTTAAGTTTTTACATTATACTCTCAATCAAATGAAAAAGTAACAATGTAGTCTACAAGTAAATGTCCATTGCATTTTTTTGACAAACTTCTTATTGTATTTAATATTAAGGGTAACTCGGGTTTGAAGACACATCAAAATATAAATGATTTTGAAAGAAATGTTGATGGACGTTGATTGAGTCTATTTAAGACTATCGGATATGCTTATTGAAGTCTACCTTATTTTATATTATAAATATTATGCTACTTTTATACACAATTGTTCGCATAATACTCAATTTTTAAGTGTTTTCAAAAGAAATTTGCTACTCATTTTAAAAAATAATAATAATAATAATAAAGTGCATTGCTATCTTTCTATTTGATTAAGAATGCAGTATGAAAATTTCAATCTTTTAGAGTGTAAATTGAGAAAGTAAATTTTTGGGTGTGTAAAGTGTTATTTGACCTCAATAAAAAAACTAAAAAATAAAGGGAACTTCGTTTTTCTCTTGCTCCTCAACCTTTGAACAATTACTTCCCTACTTGTTGCATGTGTTAGCTTAATGAGTGTAACTCTGCTATTTGTGAAAAACAACAAAATACAGTTTAGAAGACTTTTTGCTAATAGCATAAATGACACCAATCTTACAGTTTTCTATTTACCAGTATTCAAGATCCATGATGTACTTTATAAAAAACTCTCCTTGGAAGCACTGATGTGAAACTAGTAACAAATATAAATATGTTTTTATATTTCATTTTTTATTTAAATATTTGATAATTATAATTTTAACGAATTATTTAGTAAAAAACCAACCAAAAAAAAAAATTTGTTTTTAGTTCCTAAGAAACATAGATTTTCTCATCATAATATACCTTGAAAGTAAACATGAATTACTAAAGGAACCAGGATCAACATTGAACTAACTGGTTTGTTCCAAAATACTTATTGCCACTAAATAGGGTGTAATTAATCCATTTTGTTTCCTTCTGACATGATGTAGTGATGCTTATCCCTAAGTTATTGTCATTTGATTGACTTTTGACTCTGTTATTGGTTTGGACTCATTATGATTGATTAGACTAACTAATTACATTAAAAAAAATTGGTTCAAATAAGATTATTATTTTTTTTATAATAAACATAAATTTTATTGATAACAAGAGATTATCATAAGAAAATAAAATCAAATGTGGACAAACAGTCCAACACACAACAAATCAATAGTGAATATTCTACAAGGCACACAATGCCTTCCAACTTAACTTAATACAAAAGAGAGGAACATCTTTAAACTCCTTAGATATTGAAGCCTAAAAAGATGTAAAAAAATAAATTTTATTCCATAAATCTTCAAACGCTTCGCTTTTATTCTAAAAAATTCTCGCATTTATTTCTTTCCAAATCACCCACAGTGTCACAAAGAATGCAGAATGCCAAATAGTTTTCCATTTACAATCACCTTCAAACCCCACATTGTCCATGCAAAACATCGAACCCATAGTCCTTGGGCCAACCCAAGAGAAACCCACAAAATCAAAAAGCTTGTTCCATAGTGCTTGTGCCAAAGGGCCATGCAAATAATATTATTCTTTGACATGTAATAGTATTAATCCACAAGAAATACCCATGTATAATTAACATATATATTTTTTTCATTATGTTTATCATTGTGTGTAAATTAGACAAAAGTTTTGTGGGTCATTTTTGGTAGAATATTTTTAATGCACAAAAACCTTACTCAGGTAGTGTCGTATATGTTAACAGGAACTTTAGAGATGGTGCCTTTATGCTATCAAGAATGTTTATCCAAGACGTTATAAAATGGTGCCTTTTATACTAAATGATGGGACATGAATCAATGTTCCTATCACCAAGTGACATGTGGATATAGAACCACTAACACCGAGAGCATCTGATACTCCAAGGAGACCAAACCCAGCTCATCCAAATTTCCTTGGTACTTGTAGAACCCCCAGAGGAACGATTGGCCCCGGGCCCGAGTAATAATGATGATCATACATGTGGGTCTACTGATGCGATAGGCAACAAGGAACCATTACCTATGTCGTGACATCCATCTTAGGGCCCACATCATATCTCGAAAAAGTTGGCTAAAGGCATGACTCTTACTGACGTGTATTGATTGGGAAAGACATCATTTAATGATTGGTGAGCATCCCTTGAATGTTCGACACAAATCATTAAAATTCTAAAAGATGCTATTAAATGTACAAACGGGGCTCATTGAATACTCAGTCCCCTGAGTAGGGTAATCATTGTGGCATTTGACCCCAAAGTGACCGTTGGCTAGGGGTGTCAATCATGTCGGGTTAAATAGTTACGTGTCGGGTTAAACGGATGACGGGTAAAAAATATATAAACTCATACACGACACGTTTAATAAACGAGTAAAAAATCTCAACACAAACACGACCGTTTAATAAACGGGTAACACAACAACTCGTTTAACCCGTTTAATTTTAAAAAAATTATATCAACAAATTTTAATACTCCATTTTTTTTACTACTAATTGCACTTACCTCAAAAAAGAGGAATTTTAAATCAAATCTCATAAAAATAAGACTTGAAGGCTTTAAAAAAAAAAAGCAAGAGGCTATTGCCTTTTATAGGCAACCCACCCTCCTCATCTCCCCTCATTTTCCAATGTGGGACAAAAACAAAAGACATTGATTTGCCTTTGTCTTTCAAGTGCTCTATAACTCATCTCCATTGTCTTTGAAAAATAAGACTTGAAGGCTTTAAAAATAAAAATAAGAGGCCATTGTCTTTTATAGGCAACTTAACCCTCCGCATCTCCCCTCATTTTTCAATGTGGGACAAAAACAAAAAACATTTGTTTGCCTTTGTCTTTGAAGTGCTCTCTAACTCTTCTCCTTTGTCTTTAAACTACTACTTTACTTCTTTTTTTTTTATTAATTTCTTTACTTCTTTTTTCTTGCTAATTTTTTTAAAATAATTATTAATTTATTATTATATTAATTTTATTTAAATGGGTAAACGCGTGATAAACGATTTGACAGGTCTCACCCAAACACAACTCATTTATTAAACGTGTTTGGCATGTCAACCTGTTTATCACTCAAACCCGTTTAATTCGTGTCGGTTAATCGTGTCGTGTCGAATTTTGACAGCCCTACCGTTGGCTCCCTTGGGACTAGTAAATGTGTGACTCGAAGGAGACAATAGCCACTGACCATTCCCTATTATTGATGTATGATCTACCGACTTGATGTGGCTCACGAGGTGCCATGTCATCACCTCTCAAGGAATGAATAGCCCAAAGGATTGAGTCTCAGTTACACAAGTGCAACCCCATTTATACAGTACTCTTAATCCTCTTAGCCTGAACACCAATTGACTTAGCATCAGAGCTAACACAACTCTGATCCCTTTTAACCTCGTTTCTTGTTATAGGAATCTCACCCCGTTTAGCTAGGTGTTGGTATTTCAACTATGGTGAAGGATTCACTCCATGCAATTTGGCACCATCTATGGGAAGCTACAAACATAGTTTCCACGTAGCAGATACCATGGTGGACACCTACTCTTAGGTCAATTAGAGGATAACCCTCCTGCGTGAGACATAAAAGCCAATCAGTCC